AAACAATATCAGCAGGAACAGCATGGTCATAATCAGTCATGTCAAAAAACAAAATCAGATTGTATCACAAGCCATTTCTATTGAGCTTACCATCCCTTTGCAGGTCGCATAAGGAAAAGGGAATCCAACCCCATAGCACCATGAAATATATTCCCACCTGTCCAAAAGAACAGTTCGATATGTTAGTAGTCACGGTGTACAAGTGCTTTCTAGTAGAATATCGAGGGATTGGGAAGCTTAGTTTCATTAATACTCTCTTAGGTATCGCTTGTGCCCTTTAAAATAAGGTATTTTGCTTGCTTTTTATTTTAAAAGATTCCAACTGCATATGTTTTTGTTTGGGTGAATTTGGGTAGGTTACCCGTCAAACCGATTTCCCTTTCAAGATCTGGTGGAGTCAGCATGTCATATCCAATGATTGATGTACTGAAGCCAGGCGCATATTCATCAATCAACGTGAAGCATTTTTGTGCAAATGATTCCTGAATACGAGGATAGATAAGATATAATGAAGCGCCTTCAACACAAAATATTTATAAAGTAATTTTTGCATTAAGTGGTCGCCTGCACACACACAAGTGCATTGACCATGGTGGAACAAAACAAAACGAGACAACAAAATGCATAAGAATATAAGAAAAAGAAAAAAAAATAACGGCGCTAGAACATCCAAACAAACTAACTCTGTAGTCATGATCTTGCCAGTCGCCATCCAATGGTTTGTAGGGTGTATACTGCACAAACAGGTTGATCACATGCTTACCTATGCATGAAGAAAGCACATGTCATAAACTAGATGTTATCAACATATTACAGATTATTAAGGCATCAAATACAGATAAATTAACGAGATGCGTGCTGACTCAAGCCAATTTTCCAGTTCTGATCCACTAGTCAGAAATTTAATGGAATTCTAAAGGCAAACAGCGTCACTTCAACAATGCCCAAAAATCATCATAATAAATGTGGCAAATGCATTGAAAGCAAAGTAATGAAACTTCCTTCAGTAAACTGAACATATTAGGATATTCTTAAATGAAAAGTTTCAAGTACCAGGTGGAGAAATAGTTTTGTCCAGTGCGGAGGGAATGGTCATCTCAATAACTGGTCTTCTGGATGGTATTCCATTTACTGCATCTTGACACGCAGAGTGAATCTCCTCCATGCTAAATAGAAATTAACAGGGGCAAAGAAAATTGTCATGTCCTCAAAATAAAAAAAGTTGCTACCGTCCATATTGAATAAAATCGACCAAAATATATTTCTATTCCTTTATCTTATTTATAATTTAAAGATTTATTTTGATCATTTATTTTTTAAATTTGTTTCAATTTGATCCCTTTCAAAACAGTGGTTGGTGTCTATTTTGAGTCACAATTTTTATTATTTTTTAACTGATTTAAAATGTAAAACTTATCTCATTAGATTTGAAAATTTTGAAACTTTCAATTGATATTCAAATCAAAAAGGGCATAAACATGATGATAATCGTGTAGAAAATAAGTTACACGAGCCAAAAAAGAATTTGATATTAAATTTTTTAATTTCTAGTTACATGTTAGACTCATTTTCACTTAATTTTCATAATGTTTATGACTTTTCTATTTCAAATATTAGTTGGGTTCAATTGTTTTCATGTAAACAAAATTAATGAGACAAGTTTCACATATAAAAAAATATTCAAAATTATTTCCTAAAATAATAAAAAAATGATCATTATTTTGAAAGCTGTATTGATCCAACTTTTAAAAATAAAAGATTAAAATAAATTTTAAAAATAAGATAAAATACTAAAATTATAATTTAACTAATAAGATTAAAGCTAATGTAGATATAGATTAGACAGCAAGACACGAATCCGCAATTGATGAAATATGATTCCATTTTAACATACCTTTCTGAACCTATATGAATTGTGCCGACATGCTGCGGGCCAGCATGAGGATGATTTAACTTGCAACAAGGAAATTGGGGCAATTTATCAACTGCTACATTTATTTTTGTAGTAGCCTGTTTCCATAGATATTTACCAAATAAAACAATGACAGTTAATTAAACAAAAATTACTGAGAAAACTTCCCCAAATACTGTCTTTAGATCCAAAAATTACTGAAGCTTCTGGGAAAAAAGAAAAGAAAACCCTAACACACCAACTCAAAATCTGTCCTAGACAAATCTAACTTAAGACTTGCAGCCAGTCTGCCAAATGTCAATGGCTAGCACGGAAATTCATCATATTTACTGAAAGAGGGAGAAAACTTTCTCAATGTTGCTCAATGTTTATAATTATGCCAGCTTTGTTTTCTTGATGTTTTGGTCAAAATTACCCAGGTTTGTCATCTGATTAATATTTGAAGTTCATCCAGGAGCACGCTATCCACATATATTTTAATCTTACCAATTATTCTAGTTCAGTAACAGAGTAGATATTGAGAGTATTAAAAATAAATATAAACCGAGCAAAAATAGTTAACTTACAGAACTGTAGTCAGAGTGCTTAATTGCACGAACAAAATCATCAGGGAGGACATTGTTGGGCACAAATTCCTGTTACATACCAGAAGATGCAATTAATGCCAAGTATAGGAGCCGAAAAAGTTAGTATTTGCAGCTAGTTTGAGAATTTACCATAAAAGTTTTATATGGAGTCGCATTAGACAGAACAATTGAAGAATGCACTTCAGTACCATCGGCCAAAATCACCTATATGTAAGACATCTACAAAATTTAATTGCCAAGATCCAACTTTAAAAATCCACATGATTGAGCAAATTCACGGTTTACGAACGACACTAACCCCACAGACAGTCCTAGAGTTTTCAATCAACAGCCCAGCCACCTATAAGAATACAGAATATAACAGGCGGTTAGAGCCGGGAAGAAATAAATAAAAGGGGAGGAGGTTAGAAACCTTTCTCCTCCTATCCTTTTTTTTCCCCTATTAACTGAAATTATTATTCCTAGTATTTTACCATAGGCATTCCATAAGATACACGTTTATTTTTATATAATTAGAATTCTTAATAAATAAATATTTTTTAATGTATAAATTTTATTATAATTAAAATTCATAACAAATAAACATTTGTGATATAAGATCGTTATTGACAATTTCATTTTAAAAAAATAAACTACTGAAATTCAATTTATAGATAAAGATAAAAAAAATGTTTGATTGAAAGACAGAAGATAAATGTACGTAGTTTGACATACTTGAGAGAAAAATTTGGCTTGTTGCTTAAGTAACCTATGAAATGTATCTTGAAAGAAGAAAAAGAAAGAATGTCTAATTGAGAGAGTAGGAAGAGTGAGATTTTTACTCTCCAAGTTGCGAAGTAATATATTAGATATATATGTCATTGCAAGCTGATCTTGATGACATACCTCAGCATTGGTTACAATATGTGCTCCAGCTCTAATAGCAGCATTCCCAATAGCCTTGGATATTGACCCCATTCCACCTTCAACATATCTACAAGGAATAATAGCATGCTATCCATTATTTTTTAAAAGCATATATTTGTAACAATTTTAAAGCTTAGTAAACTCTAGCTTGAGGAGAAGTGTTAGAATATATGAAAAAATATCCAATATTATCTTCATCATATCCTAGATTATCCTTTAGAATTAGTTTCCTTTTTATTTTCATTCTCTTAGGACTGATTATCGTGTTTCCTTATTACATGATTTGTTAGGATTTTAGGGTTAGTACTCTAGTTTTCATGAAAAACATCATCACAATGTAACACAACATATCATATTAAGTCAGTAAGAATTTCATAGTATTTTACTATCCTATCCTTTTCCTCCCTCTAAACCTAAAACCTGTCATTTCAACAATCAATTAGGAGACTGAGCCAAGAATACCTATTAAAAACATTTGCAATATAAAATACAACTGTTCTCAAATACAGTGCAGAAGCTTTTAAGAAACAGACACAAAATGCCTTTCTATAATAAAATTGTTAAGAAAATATACAGTACTCTTTGTTAGTCATGGTTATCAAACTTGTGAATTGACTCGTAAATGCAATATTCAACAGTGCTTCCTTTTCCAGAATCAATCTTTGAGTAAGATGCACCAAATAGTATCAGTAAACTTAATTTCAAATCACTCTAGCATGTGAAAAATATTTTTGGCAAACAGCTATTCCATTTTGATTATGCACTATAAACATGTCAAGCTAACAAGAGGAATACATACGACCAAACTCCACGCTCCCCATCAGATTCTCCCATCACATGATGAAGCAGAACATAGCCACTTCCTGGGGTGTGGACACTGGCCTGCATTTCAGATTTACAAATACTATATATGCTGTGAAAGATGAGAATCGGCTATGCTATTTTTATCAGAGAAAAGTTTGTAGAAAATCTGTACTGTAATTGTTGGTCTGTCTCTTAAACAAGGATGAAGAAATTCATGTATATCTTTAACCTGAAATTTTTTTCTATTTTGGGTTACAATATAATGGTGAATTTTTTACAGAAAGGATAACTGCTCTTACTGTACTGCCTATCACAGCATCAGTTGCAAGGGTTGCCTTCAGAACATCTGCCTGCAGAAACAATGGCACACAAAATTAAGAAAGAATTCAGAACTAATTAGGCCTAACTCAACTACAAAACTTTCATGCAAGATGCAACAAGGTTGCCGAAGTCAACACCCTCTACACTTAGGCTAGATATCTAGAGCATGAGGAGCTTTGTTTCGATACAAACTTAGAAATGTTTTTATTTCCAATAAAGAAGCTCTCAAAAACACTTTTAACTTGTATCCAAACAGATTTTAAGTCTGCAAAACTAGACATTTAAGAGTTACCTAACATTAGAACTAAGGCAGGCTCTAATACCATACTAGAATTGAGAATGAACTGGACCTAACTCAACCTCAAAAAGTAGTCAATAAAGGAGGATTGCCCAAGTCATTATAAGGGCTACTTTGCTCATATATTGAGCTGACATGGGATCTTAACACAGTGAAACAAGGAAATAGATATGATCATATCACTATATTGAGCAAGAACTGCTATGAGATGGAATATATCATGAACGGAAATAAGTTAAGATTATATGCAATCTTAACTCATTGATCAGACATGCAGTCATTGTCCAGTTGAACACTTGAACTAAACTTTCAAAAGGTGTTTATATCATAAATAATAAATAAATAAATAAAAGTTCAGAAAACTTCTGAGAAATGAGATATGAACACAAACAAAAGTATACAACATCAGAGACTAAGAAGATATGTGTTCAGTTTTAAGAGATACAGTCAAAGTTTGAAGTTGAATATCTAAATGAAGAGCAATTAAAACCATAATATTACCTCAAACCAGTTATTCAAAACCTTAGAAGCTGGGGACAACAGAAGGTCCATAAAGTCCCTACAAAATAGATACAGTATCACAATGTCAAATTAGTTGTTATCGTGCCCTATTCACGGCTTTGCTATTCAAAGCAACGACAACTTGTTGCTTACAAAAATAAATCCCTATTGGAGAAACAAATACTTACACCAAATCCTTTTGCCCCAAGGAAGACACCTGGCGCAGACAATTTGCCCAAAATACTGAATTCTGTATTTTATTCTTCAATTTTTCATTAATAGACGATTTGTGCTGCACAGATTCAGGCGGAGGCGAATCCAGCACTAGATCCATGAACTTACAGAATTTCTCAAGCTGACTCGCATATCTGAAAGATAATAACAAAGAATTAAGAAAATAAAAACAAAAGAAATGTGAATAGACAAACAAAATCTTGTTACATCATGAACGTACAATCAATGCAGCTTGAACATAAGGTAGAAGTCAAACACCTTTGTCAAAGAGGTCAATGAACAAATTAAATGAAAAATATCATCACTAATTTGAGCAATAGCATTACGTAAATCTAGTTTTTACTAAACAAATTATATTTTAAACTCTTCTGATTATCTATTCAAACCTACTTTGTTGCATTACGCTACTCTATTTCAGTCAAAACAACTCCGACTCTTGACAAAGCCACACAAATGCAATTTCATATATGTCTTTACTAATGTTCAACAATTAGAATTAAAATTCACCTCCATGTTAATGCAAATTAGTGAGAGAAAAGTCCAATTCTGATCGAACAAAAGTATCTAAGAAATTACAACCAGGATTTCTCCATATCTCATTTTCCGTTTCCATTATTCGTTTATTTATCTTTTACGAAAGCAAGCACGGTGGCATTCATTTAAGCATCGAATTCCAAGGACACATTTGATTTGCGAGAAAACATTGAGACCTTGGATAAGCCTCTGCATCAGTCAGCGAGAATTTGGAGATCTCAGAGTGGTTGAGATGTTCGTCGGCCCCCATGAGAAGGTAGCGTCCGTCGAGACAGGGCGTAAACGACGACGGATTGCGCTTCAGAAGCTTCAAGCCGTGCTTCTCCAACTCCAGTTCCTTGATAACGGACGGTCTCAGGAGACTCTGAAGGTAACTGCACCGCGAAAACTTGAACCCGGGAACCAGCTCCTCCGTCACGGCGGCGCCGCCGATGACGTGGCGCCGCTCCAGGACCGCCACCGACAGGCCTCCGCGGGCGAGGTATGCGGCCGCCGTGAGGCCGTTGTGGCCGCCGCCGATGATCAGCGCGTCCCATTTCTTGGCCTTCAATGCGGTGCTGCCGCTGCTGCTGCTGAAGCTCCTCCGCCACATATCGTAAATTTGTGAATTTTGTGGTGTCGTTTGTGTTAGTAATAATGGCAGTGGCGTAGTGCAATGGTTTTAATATTAGATATCGACTCTGTTTGTGTTAAAGGGGAAAAAACTTAGTTTATTGTTCTTGACCCATAGAATGCATTATTTTAATTTTTTTTCTTTTTAAGAATGTAATTTTCCAACGATATAAAAAATGTTTATTAAATTTATTCCATCAACGTATAATGAAAAACAGACATATGAAAATGACGAAAATTACCGTGGTCATCTTATCTACACTATTATACAATCCACTTTTGTTATTGGATTTTTTTTTTCTTCCTTCTCACTCCCACTGCATGCACTACCTGAGGAAGAAGAAGAGACCATGTTGGTAGGGTGTAGAAAGTACACCATTATGTGGTCCCTATACTAATTTAGTGTTAGTTAGTTGTGATGCATGATGGACCACCCAAGATTTTTTCTATAAAAAACAACATGACTATGTATCATTAGAAGAAAAAAATGTAGCATAACACTATGAATCTTGTAATAAATAACGTACGCATCTAATGAGTAATGTTTTAATAATTTTAATCAGGAGAATTTGTTAAAATTAGTTTTTATGGATTTAATTAGTGTTTTATTTTATTTTATTTTATACAACTTAATTTTTTTTATCTAAATGTACCTGTCTGAGAGCAGACTAGTAATCTTCACATAGTTACTCAGACGCTCAAGTCAGAACAAGCATCTTAAGTTATATATTGTGAATTGAAAATTAAATAGGTCAGGCCCATCCGTATACCCATCCCTAATTGCAATACATTTTCTCACGCGCGGCTTAATTTTTTGTCAAAACAAAAATGTGCATCTTATTCTTATTTTTTTTTTAATTTATTAACCATGTCTTCCTTTTAGTTTTCATTTCTTTTAATTTATATATTAGATTTTTTCACAAATTCACTCTTGCATTATTAAAAAAAAAAAAGTTGAACCTTTAAGAATTTTCCTTTTCTAATTAATATTCCATTCCCTTTTAACAACACGCGTTTTCTTTCCATTTCATTTCAAATTGAGATTTTTTTTTTATTTTAATAATAAATTTTATAATTAATTATAGTTATATTATAGGATAATTATTAATAAATTGCCATTTAAATAAAATTATAAATTAATATAAAAATAGATTAATTGAAATAGTAAAGTTTTATTAACTAAAAAATTGCAACCAACATATGATTAGTTATTCTCCATAATAGGGTGTCTCGCTATTCTTTTGTTTTGCGGAGTTTCTTCATTAACATGATGTTTCTTGCTATTCTAACTCAAAAATTATCTCATGTTTTATGCACCAGAAATGATACATCCTCCGAAAGGTTTTGGCCGAAAAATCCTCCATTGAATTTGTAAAATTCTTCATCCAAACACACCATTAGGGTCGAACGAGAATTTCGAGCGAATATTCCGGTGGGAGGAGGTACCTGCAAAAGATACTCAGACGCTCAAGTCAGAACAAGCATCTTAAGTTATATATTGTGAATTGAAAATTAAATAGGTCAGGCCCATCCGTATACCCATCCCTAATTGCAATACATTTTCTCACGCGCGGCTTAATTTTTTGTCAAAACAAAAATGTGCATCTTATTCTTATTTTTTTTTTAATTTATTAACCATGTCTTCCTTTTAGTTTTCATTTCTTTTAATTTATATATTAGATTTTTTCACAAATTCACTCTTGCATTATTAAAAAAAAAAAAGTTGAACCTTTAAGAATTTTCCTTTTCTAATTAATATTCCATTCCCTTTTAACAACACGCGTTTTCTTTCCATTTCATTTCAAATTGAGATTTTTTTTTTATTTTAATAATAAATTTTATAATTAATTATAGTTATATTATAGGATAATTATTAATAAATTGCCATTTAAATAAAATTATAAATTAATATAAAAATAGATTAATTGAAATAGTAAAGTTTTATTAACTAAAAAATTGCAACCAACATATGATTAGTTATTCTCCATAATAGGGTGTCTCGCTATTCTTTTGTTTTGCGGAGTTTCTTCATTAACATGATGTTTCTTGCTATTCTAACTCAAAAATTATCTCATGTTTTATGCACCAGAAATGATACATCCTCCGAAAGGTTTTGGCCGAAAAATCCTCCAAACGTTTAAAATTTTAAAATAATAAAATTAAAAAAATAATTTATTTCAAATATTGTACAGATATAAATCATTGAATGGTTCGAAATGATTCGGAACTTTGATTCGGAGTCCAAAGCATTACTCTTTATGCACATTCTCAATTCACAATATATAATTTAATATAAAATTTATGATTTAAATTAATTTATATATATATAAGCTCGATAAGGCTTTCTAAAATATGTTTACTTGTTAAGGAAGTTTTAAAGGATATGTGCTCCACCACGAAACCAAATGCAAACAACATCACGACACAGAGCACATGCAAAGACACCACACAACACATGCAGAGAGAACAGATACTGCGGAATGTGAGAGAGATGTATGCCAAACGTCAAAGTTACTGACGTTTTATGTTTAATTTTTTTGCATGAATGACGTTAATGCAATTGACGTCTTCTATTGTACATTGAATTCACCTTCAGTGTCGACATTTTCTTCTAATCTCTCTCTCCGACGTGTCCAAAATAATTTATTTTGGTAAATAATTTTTTAAAAATTTATTTCAGTAATTTTTATTTATTTTTTATTTATCATGGCCAAAAGGCCTTGACAAAGTGTGCGCACTTTCTTCCTGTCAACAAAAGGTGGTCCTTGGAGAGACTTGCATAGTTGTATATCAAAGAGATAGTACGGTTGCATGGTATGCCTTCCAGTATTATTTCTGACTGAGATCTGAGGTTTACTTCTAGGTTTTGGCAAACTCTACATCAGGCTTTGGGGACGAGGTTAAGGTTGAGCTCTTGGTCAGTCGGAAAGGACAATTCAGTCACTAGAGGATCTTCTGAGAGCTTGTGTGTTGGACCATCTGGGTAGCTGGGAGGAGGTGTTGCCATTGGTAGAGTTTACCTATAATAATAGTTATCATGCGAGTATTGGCATGGCACCTTTTGAGGCTCTATATGGCAGGAGGTGTAGGACTCCATTATGTTGGTATCAGGAGGGTGAGTCAGTAGTGGTTGGTCCAGAGTTATTTCTTCAGACTACTCAGATGGTGAGACAGATTCAAGAGAGGTTGAGAGCTACCCAGAGTAGACAGAAGTCCTATGCTGATAGGAGGAGGAGACCTCTAGAGTTTGAGGAGGGAGAGCACGTGTTTCTCAGGGTGACACCCACTACTGGAGCCGGAAGGGTTGTAAGGGTGAAGAAGCTCACATTGATGAGGTTCATTGGTCCTTACCAGATCCTTCATCGTGTAGGTCCAATGGCTTATTAGTTGGCGTTACCTCTAGTTTTGTCCAACCTACATGATGTGTTATGTTTCACAATTGAGGAAGTACATTAGAGACCCGAGTCACGTGGAGGAGATGGATGAGGTGCAAGTTAGAGAGAACTTAACCTATGAGAAGAGACTGGTAGCTGTGGTTGATCACAAGTTGAAGGAGCTTCGGGGCAAGTCCATCAGCTTGGTGAAAGTTCTTTGGGATACAACTACTGGTGAGGCGACCTGGGAGGTGGAGAGTCAGTTCAAGGAACGATATCCATTCCTCTTTACAGGTAAGCATATTTTTTGGACGAAAATTCCTATTTGTTGGGGGTATTGTAACGTAGTAAGTTGATTCAAAGGTTTAGTTGAGGCTAGATAGAAGAGTATATAAGGCTTTCTCTGAGAATAGAGCCTCATAAGCTCATTCTCAACGAAATCTAGAGAGAAGTTTTAGAGAGAAAGACTCTGGGTCCGTGAGCTCCTTTCTCTCCCAAATTTCTCTATTTGATTCTTCTTCTTCTCTAGATCACTAACTCCTTCTGTCTTTTCTTGGAATTCGGGCTAAGAAGCTTATTTTTGGAGGATTGAAGTCCGTGAGTCGAGCTTCGGGAGAAATTGTTTTTCTTCTCAGTTCTTGGCTGTTTTAAGCCAATTTTCAGGTGAGGGAAGCTAGAATGAAGGCTGTTTGGTTGCATGTGAGTTTGGGAACTCAATTGATGCATGAATTTTGAGAATCCAAGGTTGGATTGAAGGAATTGCTCATTTTTATGGGTTTTGGGAAAAATGGAGTTTTTGGTGATTTTGATGCATCGGGTGGGTGCATGTTGAATCTGAGAACGTTTTTGGATTGTATGGGGTTTAAGTATTATATTGCATGGATTGCATGCGGTGGAAATCTTCTGATTTTTCGGTTTTGATGAAATTTTCAAAGTTTTGGAGGCTGCTGTTTGAATTTGCATCGGGCGCATGTTCTTGGCACCAAGTGTGCATTCATCAGAGGCAACCATTTTAAATTCACGTCGGGCGCAAGGTTAGTCGCGTTGGGCATGAATTGAGATGGGAGCCTTTGGATGAGTCACGTCGGGCGTGAAGAGAACCACGTCAGGCGCGATATCAGACACTACTAGAATTTTTTTATTACATGCGACTTTTCCTGCGAGTTTTTATGAAAAATTTGCAGGAAACGTTGTTCTTGCAAATTTTTCTGCGAAATTTTATCTGCAAGTAATTCCTTCGTGGATAATATATTTTTGCGAATTTTAAAATTCGCAGGAAATTTTCTTGCAAAAAAAATTCGCAGGAAAGTTTCTTGCAAAAAAAAAATTGCAGGAAAGTTTCATGCAAAAAAAATTTCGCAGGAAAATTTGCAGGAAAGTTTCTTGCAAAAAAAATTTCGCAGGAAAATTCGCAGAAAAGTTTCCTAAGAATTTTTTCGCAAGAAATTTTGCAGGAATATTTTTACGAAAAAAATTAAAGAAATTACTATAAATTCTATCAATAATTTTTCAACTTTCAAATGCTCACAATGAATTCATCCGAAGCATTTGTTTCCATGCCTCCAACATGTGATACATAATCTTTTAAATTCTAAGATTGTTGATTATAAGCTTAATACTCAACCATACAAATCAACTTGTAAGGTAATTGCTTTATTTTTTTAATCGATGTGGGACTTGAAGTTGTTTTAAAATATTAA